GGGAGGTATCAGAAACTTCAATCAATACAGTTAATATTTTAGAATGGAAATATAATTAGATCATTATCAGAATTATAATGTGAAGGGACTGCTCCAAAGATTTCTCACAGCACTTAAGTCCCACAATTTAGCTCACTTGACAGACCACACAGTGACTGTGAAGGGCTACCTGTATGGGTAGCTGTACTGGAAGCAGTTTGGGGGGATGGCATGTGATCCAAATTCACATGAATGTAGCACTTCCAAATCATATGAGAGGCATACAGAAAAGAGTTCCTGAACTGATGCTCATATCCACAGACTGAAGTCATACCTATGGGAAGATACTAGATGTAAGACAATGTCCTCCATTGTATGGAGTTGAAGGGAAGGAAAGGAAAATATAGAGTAAGTTTCAGGAAAAATTTCCTGTGAGTGAAAGGATGAAAAAAATGTACTATTAAAAATATTCTTTGGACTTTGCAAATGAACTAAGGGAAAAACATTCAGTGTAGGAACAGGTGACTAGTCCTTTCCAGCATAGTGAGACTTCAAACCTGAGCGGGACTTCAGAGCACCATCAGAACTAGATAGAAAAAGAAGACACATCCCTTCTTTGATAGACTAATGCATTAGACAGACCAATTAATATTCTACTTCTGATTTTGGATTTCATGTACAGAATCCTAATGAACTTACCCTTTCAATGCTCCTGTAAGGATAATTAAGGAATATATAATGGGATAATGGGAAACTTGATCATAGAAGAGAGATTCGTCTAAGGTCACAAGGAAAGGCAATGAAAGGGGTGATTTTAGAAATCCAGTGCCTCAGACCCCACAAAAAAAAAATTAAAAATATGAATTTGCATGAGAAGTTAGTAATTATGGAATTAGCATATAGAAGTATCACTGCTTCCCTTACATTTCACCACAAAGAATGGGTTATCGGCAAAATATTTTGGATATGTTTTACAGAAGAACTAATGAGATAGGAAGTCTACTGGAAAGATACCTACATGCTATACTGGGAAAATACTGAGACCTGCTGACCTTTTGCTGAGATCACTTACTAATTAATAAACACTGGCGGTGGAGAGGTTTTTTTGAAAAGTTAACTTTTATACATTGTTCAGCTATTGTTTTGCTCAGACAGCATATAAATGGCAATTCACATATACTAACAGCTCTGTCCAGGAATAGTGGAATATTTAACATGTCACAGATTAAAAAAAAAAAAACCAACATTTTCTTTTTTGAAGTTACTAGCTATTAATCTATACAAATAAATCTTCTTTCCCTGCCCTCAAAACCTTACTGAATGTGTTACTTTTTTTTATTATTCAATCATATTACTGTAGTTTACTGAGGTTAAGAATTTTCATTGCATTTTAACAACATCATGAAATATGACAGGGTGAGAAAATAAAAATTACAATATTTATTAAAGGAATACCAATTCATCATTACTCTACATTGACTTATACTACCATAACCCAAAATGTAACATAATTCAAGTTAAAGTCAGCTTTCTAACATTATTTGGACTACACACCACCACTAGTCCAAGCTCATGTGTAGCTTACAAAAGTAAAGATTACAGTACCTTTTGAACAGTTTGCTCATCAGCTTCCATTTTTGGTCATCGTCAAACCTGCTCATCTGAAAACAAGAGGGGAAAGAGAAAAGCCATGAAATTACATTACTACACTGATGCATTCAAAATGTTTGCTTCAGGTCAGTCTCTAAACGCAGCAGAATGCACCGGGAATGAGAGTCCTGGCAGAACTGTGACCTTCACCACCGCCCTTGACATTCACAGCCTTCTTCCTGCTGTTCTGCCGGCTGGTCAGATAGAGATGAAGAAGTAAGTTCAAGAGCCAAGTGTGACTGAGTGCCCACAGCTTTTCATTAATACTAATTCTAGACATCCTTGCTGTTAGTCACAGCCAATACAAAGTGTTTTAGCAGGTGGTTCTTTATTGCTCATACAAAACTACCAAAAGATAAGAAGCACCCATTGAATCAGATGATAAACAGGAATCAGGAATATTGTTTGTGTCAAATTCATCTTGCCACTATTAAAGGTGATACTGGGTGTAATCTATATAGACATAACAAAGCTAAACAGCCAAATTCTACTCTATTGCTGTAGTTTCTAGTCCTCCATTAAATATTTTGCTCTGGCAATGCATGAGAAGTAACCTGAAGGTAAAGATTGTACGTTGTACTTACCAGTGAAAAAACCTCCTTTTAAGAGCTGTAATAAAGCACAGGCATCAAAAGTAGTGATGGCTTATCTGAGAGAAACTTACTCTGTTAGAAATTTCCACAGAAACGCAAAACTAGTTATATGAATACACATTCAGATATCTTGCAGAAGCTCAAAAACTATTCTAGAGAGAGAGTAGGTTTTAATACAGTTTCCTTAAGATAAAATAGTAGACTGTCATTTAAAAATTTAACTATCTACATATTTACAGCACGTATCTGTCACAAAATATGAACTCTAGCCACATTGCTAGGCAATAATAAAAGTCTCAAAAGCCCCAGCAAATATTCCTTTGTCATAAATTAAAAATATGTAAATATATGCATTAAAATTAGAATAAATATGTATGAATTTCTCTACAAATACATACAAAATTAGCATTCAATACCAGAAAAAGACAATAGTCCAGAAATAAGTCACCATCCTTCTGAAGCGTGTTAACAATTAATTCCAACTTTAGTGACACTTCTTAAATGCTGCATTTAAAGTAATCTTGATTTAACATCAGTTTAAAGTTTTACCTAAGAAATATTGTTCCTTTTTGGAGCATTTCAGAGCATTTTGGAGATGAGAAATCTTATTGTGCAGTTTAAAAACCTCTTCTCTGAAATCCTCATTCTCTTTTTCAAGCATTTTTTTTTCATGGTCATCATCTTCAAAGACAACCTGAAAGATTGCGATGCCTTGAATTTATAAGTAAGGAACTGGGGACTTAAATATGCTGCACTGGTGTAATATTATACAACACAGTATCATATAATTTCTGAATTCTATTACAGAGTCATAATATGAATAGAAAAAAGTCGAGCCTCTAAATAGGTCCCTGCTAGAAGAAAGGCTGCAGTACATTATATACAAAGACCATAACACATGGGGACATTTTATTGACAGGAATAATGCATATCATACTGTTTGTGTGCCCTCATCATTCAGGTCAATTTATTATGGAGGCTGTGTCCAGGAAGGCAGCTGGGGCCTATCCACCCACACTTCCCCCCGTGTTTATGAAGTGCTGTCCGTAACTAGGCAGGCAGGAGAGACTGTGGACAGGCAACACCAGGGGGTTGCAAAGTGCATGGCTAAGGAGGGGGGCTTGTTGCCTTTGTGCCATTTCTCAGTGACAGTGCTGCCAGTGTCATGAGGAGCACATCACATGTCAAAGCGGTGAAGTTTTCAGGCTGGGAGCCGCATGGAGTCCATCAGGCCTTCTGATATCAACACAGTTGGTTTTCTACTTGGTGTCGGAGCCACCCAGAGGCAATTCATATTCTGAACATTAACATGGCTTTGCATGCCTGTCACACATAGACCGTGCAGGGGTTTAATGCTATTGAAGACTACGGTTTAAATCTCTATGCAAACAGTGATTACCTTGTAAGAAGGTTCCAGGATAACATGCAACAAAAGACTTTAAAGTTATAGTTTTAGTAAAGCAAACTCATTTACATTTTTATTATGCGTGTCCTTTGTTTAAATCTTGCCACGTCCATTATGGAAAAGACTTCTTATGCAACTGAAGCTTATTGGGACAGCTACTCTTTTTTTCTTGTTGGTTTCAAAGCTATTGAAAACATTTGAATATATTGTCTTATGGCTGTCTAGATTTTACTGCCACATATTTCTTTTAAAAATATAGAAAAGCTTTCAGTGCTGGCACAGATCTTTATAGTAATACCAGAATATTAACTAACTCCTGAAACCATTTAAAATATTAACACAAAAGAGAAGACTCAGACAGCAGTTGCTTTGCTTGGTAAAGAAAATTTAGGATATTATTTGCTTTGTTTGGTAAAAATAAAAACATTCAAAGAAATTACTTCAAAATAAAAATGTTAAAGACTTTTGAAAATAAATTTTCAAGGATTTCAAATGGCATATAAACTTAAACGATAGTGTAATGATGGGCAAAATTTAGTCCATAACTATTTGTTTTTCCTCAAAAAAGACATTTTTGATCTCCAGTTTACCAGAATAAATTATCAATGTACATAAATTTTTGGCCACAGAGTTTTCACTGATTTTATAAGAAAACATGTCAATGAAATGCCAAGTGCTTTGGAAAGTAATTCACACTAGTTTGTGGTTCCCCTTCGTTTACTGAAGAAACAGTAGCAGTTTACATAAAGACCAAGTATGATTAACAAAAATGTTACTTTTAATAATGTAAATTTTAAAAAAAATGGTAATGAAATACTCCAACGGTATTTAATTTTAAACAGTCTTTATGCAGTAACAGATTTAGAATCAGTCCTCTGAGGTAATTATTAGAGTGCATGTTTTTATTGAAAACTACCAAATCCTGTAGACAGATGAGCACACTCTAGGGAAAACAGTAGAGTTAAGAAAATGGCACATGCAATATTTAAGTAATTAGCTAACACTCTGCTCTGGCAGCGGTCAACTCTAAACCACTGTAAAACAAACTTAGAATTTCAAAAGATCTTTAAGTAACAGTTACAGCTCTAATAGGCTTAAGTATTTGTTCCTTTGCTCTGGCTGTATTTGAGCATCAACAGCTGATGCTCAAAGAAGGACTTTTATATAAAATAAACAAAAAGATCTTAATGAATCCTGTGACTAAGTTTTAAATGGTATCTCAAATGTAAATGTAATAATTATCTTTTACCGCTTTAAGGGAAGGATATAAACATTTTCTTCGTGAAGTTGTACTTTGCCCATTACTCAGATACCCTTTAGCTCTAGCTCCACCATCTGCTAAAACCAAGAACTGCAAGTAATTAACTATTCAGTCTCCTGCTGCAATGAGGACACTCATTAGCAAAATGAACAAAGGGACAATTTTCTGTAGCTACAGTCATCTGTTACACTTTGAGTGGCAGGTTTTGTAGCAATGTTCTCTCTACCATCTGCCCACAGCGGTAGCGTTTGGCTTGCTTAAACTAGGGAACTTTTAAGTTGTAAGAAAAAAGGGCTAGAGGTTGGAAGGCGATTATAACACGGCTTATATAGAAGGCTTCACTATTTCTCACCTTTTCTGTTTTAAGGCCTTCATTCTAACAGTTTTATTACTTTAGGTAAAAAATATGCATATTTTTGCCTTAATAAATTCTGCTATATATTTGCAAGAGTATGTATTGTTGATTCTTAAAATTGCTTTTCTGATAATACCAGACAGATATACTTACCTAATTTTGGAATATAATAAACTTCAACTAGATTAATCCACCTACACCCCTAGTATTCTAGCCAAGTAGGTAAAGGTAAGAGAATATAAGTATTTATTATGCAGTTGAGAAATATACATTTCTGTTTTGTACCCTGCAGTGTTTAATATACACTCGAAATAATCAATTGGATTTTTGAATAACAGCCATGATTTTTTTTACTCTTATTGCAAAGAAATATGATACAAATTACTCATGCTCTCCTATGACACGAAAGAAGAAAATACTTCAGCATATTCTGGTTAATATTATAAACTGAGGTTGTTATTGTTGTTGATTTATTGGCAACTTGCCTTGAAAACAAATCCATTCTCGAAAATGTCATCCAAATTATTACATACCTTTCCATTTCTCAGCTCTCCTTTAAGTACTTAAATTCCGCATTATGTACACCACAAGAGGGTGCAATTGCACAAGCTGTCATGAAAAACTCATTTATAAATATGCCAGTTTTCAGTTGCAAAGGAAAAGATAATTTCGGTATTTATTTATATTTATTGTTATTATCCCTAATATGTTACATTCGTACATTCATGATTTTAATCCTTTCATAGTTGATAACTGTACATTGCAAAGAAATGCAGTTTTAAGGTTGAACATGGGAACCTATAATATGGCCACTGGTTGAATACAAGCCTTTACTTTTCAGTCACCCTGTTATTACACCTGTATCTTCAATTCAGCTAATGCAGATATTCTATAAGGGCTTCCAGTCTTGAAGATTTTGGAAGATCAAGATGCCATCATTCCTCTGACAATATCTAATCAGCAATCATTGGCACAGCAGTTTCACCTTGTAGCCGCTGTAATTGATTTTGTCATCTATGGAGGTCTTTTAAATGCAACAAAATATAGATGCCAGCCAGGAAGGGACTAACAAGTTGTTACTGGCCCAAATAGCTCCATTTACCTTTTCAAGTCATGTCACAGATGGAAAAAAGATTAAAGACAGCATAGCTTTGGAGGGAAAATAGGCAGTTCATTGCAAACTCTTTGACAGAAGAAAATAGCAAATGTTTCTTGTTTCTGTTTTGTATAAATGCAGAACTCTGGGAGAAGAAGCTGGTGATGACAAACTTTTGCTGTGTGGATCAGCTAAAGATTGTGTAGATACTGAAGTAATCCTTGAAGTGCAGCCGAAGGATAAAGGGTCAGCCAGCCAATTTGACACTAATTGTTTATTCCAACTGGCCTTCTCTACTTTCCCCTTTTTCATCCATTCAGAAACGTGTCTGGGACAAAGCTCAATTACAGAATTTTTATGAACTGTTGTTAGAATACTTCTAACAACAGAGAGAGCAGGAAGTTTTCATGTATGGTACCTTTTAAGAGAATTCTGTATAGATCCCACACCCTAGGCAAATATCCCTAAATCCTCTCCTTGGCAATGTATTCAGATTCCGTAATCAAGTAAGCTCAAACTATTTGATAAATAGATTTAAGCTCAGTTTTTCCATTTAGGGCATTTTCTCCAGCTCATAAAAATGTTTTGGCTTTTTCTTGTTTTCTTTCCTAACCGTGTGGACTAGGACTAGTACTCACAAGATTCGAGAGATCAAATATCTCCTTACACTTACCTAATCACTGAAGAAGTATAGCAACCCTTTTAACAACTGCCCTTTTTTTTTTTTTTTTTTTTTTTTTTGGTACACACTGAATTCCTGAAAATGGCTCCCCATCCTGTAGGTATTGGCTGCATTCCTTGCTTTTAGAGGTATAAGCAATCATTTGTTTTAATGGACCCAGTGCATGACAGGGTGCTACAACGGCCATGTGCTGTCATTACTTACCTATCACTCTGTGTTGTCTACAGGTTTAATCAGCTGTGTTTTAATTTAATTCCAGGTCACCAATAATATATTAGGAATATAAAAATAACCTTTATTAATTATTACATAACTTTACTAAACAAACAAACAAGACCTATACCATGTTGATTCCTCATTTGAAGTATTTTTGAAACATTTAATTGTTGAACAGGAGCTTTGCACAAAGAAAATGTCTTTATCTGGTTCATAAATTATGTGAAGTGCAGGACCTGAAGAGCATCCCATCTTACTGGACTTAAAAGGATCAATGGCAACAGTAGGTATTTACCCTACAAGCTCCACAGTCTAGGTAAATAATGTAACTTTGACTGCATTTCTTGTACTGAAGCGAAAACTTCACAGTTGTGCCTCCTTGTTTTGCCCTGTAGGCAAAGGGCCTCATTCATGTTTATCTACCTCTACCCAAAGTCTGAAACACTTTTAGGAGATTCCCACCCCTTAATGGAAGATCATAAAACTGAATTTTAAGGCATGATGTATCTTAGCATAGTACATACTCTATTTCAAACAGTGCTACTAAATCAAACACCTTGCAAAAGTCTTATTTTCACAGATACCACTCAACCAAACTTGTATTCTACTGAAATAATGAAATCAGTTTTGTTAGGAAAACATCTATTTGGTATAAAGCCTTTAGTGATGATTAGGAAAGTCCATCTTAAGTTTTTGATTATGTTAACATACCTAACACAAACAGGGCAGCAGTCTCTGGGGGACCCCTGGATCTAAGATATCTGGGTTTCCTCACCTAGAAATGTGTTCTCTCTGTAAATGTGTAAAATCCCTTCTGGAGGTTAATAAATCAGGAACTACTTGTTAACCTGCAGTACAAGCACCTTGTTCTGCCTCTTCCTATATATAGCACATGCTTTTTAAAATTGTCCCTTGGATTTTCACATTATTAATAATTCTACAATTTTAACCTAAGAGTCATATAATTGCAGCCACTTCCTTTGCTCCCAGTATATCAAGATTATTTTGTCCTTAATGGTACCATTAATAGTTATTTTCTCGATACATTGTTCATTTTATACCCTTCAAAAACTTCTAATTATATTAATTTCTATATTTTTCCCACATTTGTTATATGTTGTTTTAATTTCTATCATTTGCTAATGTCATCTTGCCATGAAACTAAACCAGGACTTTAGTAAAAGCTATTCTTTTCCATGATTATGATACTACGGCTTTTTGGTCACGTAATACTTTTTTCTTAGAGATTTCAGCTTTTTTGTTCATATTCTTGTGTTTAGATTTTAAGCCTCAGTCAGTCTCCCTCAGCAATGTAAAACAAGCTTTTTATGTGCATAAAAATCCACTTGCATACACAAATGTGCTCATATCCTTATGGCACAAATTACTAACTTATCATTCATCTTGGCCTCACCTTGAGTACCGTGTGCAGTTCTGGGCCCCACAATTTAAGAAGGATGTGAAAGTCCTTGAGTGCATTCAGAGGAGGTCAAAGAAGCTGGTGAAAGGGCTGGAATGAATGTCCTATGAGGAGCAGCTAGGGACTTTGGGCTTGTCTAGTTTAGAGAATAGGAAGCTCTGAAGACCTCATTGCTCTCTACAGCTTCCTGAAGAGGGGAAGTGGAGAGGGAAGTGCTGAGCTCTTCTCCCTGGTATCCTGTGACAGGACGCGTGGGAATGGCACAAAGCTGCATCAGGGGAGCTTTAGGCTGGACATTAGGAAGCATTTCTTTACCAAGAGGGTGATCAAACACTGGAACAGTCTTCCTAAAGAGGTAGTTGATGCCCCAGGCCTGTCAGTGTTTGAGACTTTGGACACTGCCCTTAACAACATGCTTTAACTTTTGGTGAGCCCTGAACTGGTCAGGCAGTTGGACTAGATGATCACTGTAGGTCCCTTCCAACTAAAATTTTTCTCCTCTTCTTCTCCCCTCCCCTCCCCTCCCCTCCCATCTTCTGTCATTTCAAACCAACATCATTTCTTTGTAACATAAAAGGCTGGAATACTATTTACATTCTCAGTTCATGTTATTAGTGGGAATCTACAAGTACGATTTTTTTTTAAAGGCAGAAGTCAATGGTTTAGATACAGTGTGTGCATATATATCAGTGTACTGTATCTGGCTCCAGAATGACCACCAGCTGACAGCTTGGGTGTCTTTACTCTGGGTTTCACAGCCATTACAATGGGTATACACATGCCGTTTAGTTAAGAGGCAGAATCCAAAATCTGCATCAAAATCCCTGATGATGCACTAAAGAATTTTGTATTACAGGCACTAAGATCTACAACTACCTGAACTTATACCACTAAAAGCTGCAGGACAGTTTAAGTACTGCTGCCAAACTACTCTGAACCCTAATAGCAATGAAAGGTTTAACATCTAATTTCCAGTAGAAGTTACAAACATTTCTTTACAAGCTGCTTTCTGATCCAGCTAGGTGTTCTAAAAGTACTCCTGCCAACTCAGAACTTTTAAAAGACAGTGAGGAGGTGATTTAGTACCCCTAGAATTCCATAGACCACTGTGATAATGACAACCCTTGTTTACATCCAGCCTCTTCCTCTTTGGAGAAGAAATCTGAACCAAAACTAATGCAATGACAGCCTCTTAGTATATTCACACAGGAGCCTGGATTGCAGCACCTGTTACAGAGAACATTTAAATATACATATTTTTATAAAGTAAAACGGCCTCACTGGGGCTCACTCAGAAGAACCAGAAGAAAAATAAGCCATATCACTGTTGACTGTTGTAGTTAACAGTCTGTTGCAAGAAGGAATTACTATCACTTCCTTCCATACACAGGAATGACTGACTTGGTTTAACAATCCATTTCTAGAACAGGTTGCATAGCTATGAATTCCAGCTGGGGAGAGATACCTGGTTTCCTCAGAAGGTACATCATAGATGCCATATTTCTCCTTTACATGCCATACTGTCTATCTTAGGTGGCTGCCAGCACAGTTAGATTTTCAGATCTCATTAGTACTACACATCTCAGAGATGCATGGAGAGATGAAATGAAAAAGCAATCCAGGGTCAGGCTTAGCCAAAACATCTTCAGAGCCTGAGACTGCTTTTTAACAGCCTAAAGCATATGAGAGGTTTTGAAAAAGTGTTATAGATTTCTCACACTTCAATGAACTGCAGATGAGTATAGTTAATTTGGGTAGAAGGACGTGTTTATGTTAAAGAAGGGTTACAAAGATTATGTATCGACATATGTTTTGACATATTTGACATTTGACATGACATATGTATTATGTTTCCCATTTGAAGACCACAGACCGAATAAGAAGCACAGTTCTTAACCATTGTAACAAGCCCTTTATGTCTGCATTTGGGTGGGGAAAAAGATTCACAGTTGAAAAGGGCTTCTCGTGTCTATTAATGGTTGTACCCAAGTAGCTGTCATATTCCATGAACTGTTGCAGGAGTTAAGAAAAATTAAGCATGAGGGATTTTGTGTTTTATTTTTATATTTTAAATGAAGGTCTATGTTCAGTGCATACTCAAAATGCCAACTTAAATGATTAACAACACAATTCTGAAGACAAAAAAAGATAAAAGATTTATTTTAGAAGTTATTTAGAGACAGTAGGAACAAAGAGAAACATGAGAAGATGTAAGTACTTCTGTAAGTAGTGGAACAGAGGTGGACCTTTCTGTAACTGAGATGTTCACATGCATGGAGTAAGAATGGCACTGAGAGCAATATTTTTAAAAGCTGTATCTAACTTTTTGAGTTGACTTTTGGGGATTTTTTTTTTGTTAAGTTTTTACAAAATTATTTTAGAAAATATTTTATTAAAAAAATCAGGAAAGATAGATCAACTACTAACTCTTGGTCAGACTATCACTATATAAATTTGTGTGGCATTAATAGAGTAATATAAATTAGTCAAAATACTTATCATAGCACAGGTTAATCCCAAAGAGTGTTCTAGCACTTTCTCAACCTAATGTTTCCTATAAAAATAAGAGCACTAGAAATACACTTCATTGAATATGTTTAAAGATTTCCACGTTTGGATAATGAGTTTATGAACTTTTAAAAAAACATACCATTTTAGTCTTTTTTTTTTTTCTAATCCTGAAATTTTCTCCCCAGATCTTCCATTATGGATTCTTCCTCGTGTAGCTTGTTAGGCAAAAGCTTCAAAAGTTTTCTTGCTGAACATGCTGTGTCTCCTCCATCTATGTTGTAATACTTCTACTACAAGAAAAGATTCTTCAGTGAGACTCGGGCATAAACCCCATAACCCTCTTCAAAAGCTACAGCATATTTCTTGTAATTTGAACACATCATAATGCATATTTTACATTTAAGAGTTCTGTTCCAGTATCGAAAATAAAATTTTACTGTATCTGACATCCCAAATGCTTAAACAAAAAGTGTGTTATATCTAATACATAATCTATAATACTAGAGAATTCAAATGCACATCAAAGAAAAAGGAAATTTGAAAAAAATTTGCATATTCTATATATTTTAAAACTTTCAAATAATGTATTTAAAACATATAAGAAATAAAATAAGGACAAAATACAGCATAAGTACAGAATAAAAAAAATAATTAAAATGTTAACTTTGCATTACTGGCATTTATTTGTACATCTGGGCTGCACAAGAAAATTGTTTAAATTGCCTTAAAGGATAAAAAAAGAGCACCCACAATGGATGACTTCCTTCTTATGTAGTAAAAAAATTAAAATAAGACTTTCAAAGAAAACCAACATGTGTAGCCTCCCATTATACAGAAATGTCTCTCCAAGGTGGTGTATTGCTACCAGTTGGCCATTAGGAAGCTCTAAGCTCAGAAGTGTGTTTGAGCTCTTCCTTCAGGAGTACCTAGATACCTAAAGTTATTTCCAAGGTTAGGTGATAAAAAACTTATTTAAAATATTAATATTACCAGAAATATACTATCTCTTGTGTAATACATTAACATTTGTAGCACTTACTAAGTGAAAGAAGTAGGGTTCAATTATTTTTTCAACCACAGTGGAGTCAAACTCAGCTCTCCTTTCTCAGAGAACCTCACCTACAAAGCTATACACATGCCCGCGACAGGGCAAACCTCCACCTGGTTGCTGAACCTGGACAGAAGAATCCGAAAGTAATGCAAGATATTCCAAAGAGAAAGCAAAGCAAAGGGAACCTGACCCTGCAATCCCCTGGTGAGAACACTGCTACCATACACTCCATGGAATATGCATTTTTTTTTACCATGGGATGAGTACATGAGCTGGATTTGGGAAAGAAAATTTTTCACATGCAAAATGAAGTTTGCATTATTCTAGATGGTCTCTGCAACGGTACTTGATTGCATATAGACACATTTTAACTAGTCACACTTTTAATAGTCTGTGGAGATTTAGTTCAATGTCAGGTGAGTATAGACGACAACTCAATTCACCCTTAAGTAGGTATCTAAAATTGATCAGATGAACTGTGTCCTAAAAAATGCCTGTTTCTCTGACTTGACTATCAAGAAAGGAAGGTCAGCACAGCTGCATCATAAACATGTCTACATTATTGATGAAGTGTTACAGGAGACAAATGCCACTCTTAGTTTTTCTCAGAAGTGACTATTTCCCAAAAGGAGTGTTTCACTACCTAATTTTAAAAGGGAACATAGTTTTTCTTCAAATAGTCTATAGTCTACAGCGCTCTTGTAAACCAACTCTGCTTAAAATGTTATTAAAATGTTCTATATATTAAAAATTCATTGCTAGAAGATTCCACAATTATCATGAAAAATAATCTATTTTACACTTGCTTTTGGCATAGAATTTGTTTCTTCAAGTGATGGTGCTATATATCATTATTCAGGAATGAAGAACCAAAGTAAAAAATTAACATATTTCCTCTCTGTGAAATCTTAATAAATTTTGTAGTTCTTTCTTTACAGAAGCTATCCTTTCCTTCACTGCTAAAGCCTAGCTTTTGCCTTCGAATCACACACTTTAAGCTATGCAACATTCTTGAAATGCAAAACATCTTCTGTCACTTGCTCACTGTTTTCAGCATTCTAATTTCCTCTCACATCTTTAAAAATTCCTCAGTCTCACAGTTCCTCTTACATTTTCTGTGAACTTTTCTCCTTTGCTTTACATTTTTCCGCCCTGTTGTCTGAAACATCCACATGATTAATGCTAGTTTTAACTCATTCACAAGTGCACCTGTTCTCCTGTCCCTTCACATGTCTAGGAGATCATTCATTCTGTAAAAACACATTCTTTTCCCCTTCCAGGATTCTCTATGATTTTCTATATATTCTGTTACATTGCAGATGCTGTCAATATACTGTACACACTTCCCACGATATATCTCCACTTGACTGTGCTATGTATAAATAAATGTAGAATAATTATAGCTAAATATTTGTACTCACTACATTTCCCAACTATCCACATAATTTTTTTCTTTTTTTTTTTTTTTTTTTTTTTTTTTTTTATTTTTAAACACTAACTTTGCTTTGTCAAGAAATACGAACTTACATATTCCATTTGCATGTGGGGTAAGAAAGATTAAAATTCTATACTTTCTAATTTGGATTATTTTTACTGTTCCGATTGCACCCTGAAATCTGTTAAGAAATCTGTGGCACAGTCCCTAGAGGGCAGTAGAAAGCCACCTGGAGTGCCCACGATTGGTCAACATCCTCTATTCGGCAGTCCAGGAGTTCAATTACCAAAGATATCAAGACATTTTCATTTTTTATTGAACCAAACAGCATTTTATGTGATTACTATGTTTCTGACTCCTAACAGACCTAATCACAGACTGTCAGTTAAGCAAGTTCCCTTCATTTGCTGTGAATTAAAGCACACTCATCCCCTCAATTTGATTTCACTACCCTCAATAACAAGCAAAACTAAGCACTGACTGTGTATCTGGTTCTGATCCTACCCTGCTTGACTATTTTACGGTCAATTGTTTTTCACTAGTCAAGAAATTAACAACTCTGCAATTTTTGCTTTCTTCCACTGCTTTCTACAAACATACCTCATTCATGTTGTAGTAACTATGATGTTACTCACCTAAAACTATACTCAGAGTAGGCTGAACTGCATAAGGAGGGGAAAAACAAAACTCGCAAAAAACAATTACATTTTTTGTTAATTGTTTCTATTCAATATAGTTTAAATGCTTAGACTTCACAAAAAATTCAAATACACCCTTCCCCAGGTTTTGAAATGCAAGGCTATTCTCTGTAATTAGTTTATGACATATTAATACTCAGCCCAGCAGTCTGCTACCACATTAGTGATTAAAACCCACCTCAATATTTGCTCTGAGAACAGTCAGTGCATCACATAACTGTTGTTGGCAGCTTTGCTGAATGTGGAACTTTTTCTGCAATTCAATTTGTAACAAATTACTGAGAACTCTGACATGCAATAAAAGGACACAAGCAATTACAAAACCAAACCGAACCGCTTTTATATATTTTACTACTTCATTTAAGAAAATTAAATGCTATACAAGCTCTTGAACCTAAAAAAAAAAGGTCATGTTTCTTCTCTATCACTTCTTTTTTGCTGCATCAATATTTTTAACATTTGTTTTTTAATGTTTGTATCAGAAGCTTGAAACTGAGGCTTTATGCATATTTGTCTGTTGTAGTGAGTGTTCACTAGTTGCAACATGATCACCTAGGAGTGTTAATGCTGGTATGGGCTGTGGTTTACTACCTAAAGATCACCTGACTATATATTTTCAAATAAATATATGGGAAAAGAATTGTAAATAAATTATACACACGGGAAGTGTGCTACACTTCTTGCTAATTAATTCATTGCTATATTTTACTAGAAATAACCACACTACAGTTTAATAAGTTTTCCTAGATATGGTAATAATAGGCCAAGGTCAATGTAACCCATGTTCTGTTAATTGCAAATTTGCAAAAGACACATTAAACAGTCACTTTTAAATCTATATTAGCACTTTTCTTTATTTCCTTATTTTCAATACTTCCGTGGGTTACTTTTCATTAAGCAATATTGTATCAATCTGCACAAAGAGGGGACATGAATGAGAACTGGCATCTAGTGAAGATTAACATGTAAATGAACAAGAATTTTTCTCTCAATCTGTTTATGTAAAAAGTCAATGTCTGTCAGTCGATCATTTATGTATTTATAAAGATTTTAAGACTGTTCTTCAGTTTTTTCTTTGATTTGTGCTTGAATGATACTTTTGTAGATGAACAAATCTTGCTGGAGGGAGTGAAGGAGCTAAAAATAAAAATCTTAGTATTATTTATCTTTATATACAAAGTGAGCTAGTCAGAAGAAAAGTATGACTATTCCATCACTCTGTTCAAGCTGATGGTTAGATTCACGCACCTAAACACAAGTATTTCTATGTCCTACGGTATCCTCTTTGGTCTAAACCAGTCACTTGGGCATGGGTGTCTACAGCTGCCAGAGCACACAACTTCACATCCATGCTTTAGACATCTTAGCCTGGCAGCAGGAGTTTCCATCTGCAGAGTAAAACACCTAAATTTAAGTGCCTGTGTAAGAACTACGTAAGTTTCTGTTACAGGCAATGAAGTCAATGGAACTTGACTCAGTTGCTCATGCACACATGGTTCAGTGTCAGAAGAAATGAGCTATGAAAGACATCTTATGCAGGGCTGGCAGACATGACACAGGGCTAAAGGAAACCTGTCCCCTTCTGAAACTGGAGACAGAGGCTAAGTAGCATAGCTTTAGACATCTCCATTGACTACAAAGACAGATCTGCACTGACTATATGGGAAGTTTAGGTGCCCTGCTCAGACAAGGATACCCCCATGACACACCTAAATGTAGATTTCTTAATCTGTGAGCTGATTCTCACCCCAAATAACGAATTGGACTGTTAAATAAAGTCTTGGGGAGCCTTCTATAATGAAAATAAGATATATTGCAGTATAATGTTCTCTAATGAAATTTAAAAGTGAAGAAAACCCGAATAACTTCTGCAGAACAAAAAAAAATTTACAAAAATGTACCAAAATGAACATATATTGCAATGTCAGAAGTGCCAATGACATCTTTGGAATGTTTGTTGTAAGCACCACTCCATTGTATCACTCCTGTGAAAAATTTAAAAATGACATTCAGAAAACTGTAACTCATGAAATGAAGATCTGAATATACAGTATTAAGCATATATTTCAGTAGTCACAGGCAAGTAAAGCATAATGAGAACTGACCTTCAATATAAATTACTTTGTATCCGGATGTACAAAGCGTTCTCTCTTAAACTAAAAACTCCAAACCTTCAGTACTGCATATTTTGAAGATATTTGGATTCAGTATTTGACAGGTAGAGAATATTTCACAGGAAAGACATTTAACTTTCTCAAAAAAATAACTAATTTAGGAACACTCAAGTATCTGCCAGATGGTAACTTGTCAGATTCTGCAAAGGAGATCCACACATATGTATCAATAGAGGTTATCACAATGTAAATCCAAAAAGTGGTCAAAACTTGTTTGTAAATCCTAATTCAACATTCTGCAAAGTATTTTATGGTAAAAAAGAATTAAAATATCTGCATTTTAGCATGAAGTGACAGAAGAAGAGCTAAAGGAAATGCATTCTGCTTGCCACTGGCTCAGATGAGCAAAATACTCTGAAATCTTTCAGGGATGTGAGGTAGAAAGAGATACTGCTTCTAAAAATAGTATCAAAAGCATTTAATTTTAGATCTTTATGTATACATCTAAAAACTAAAAATAAAAGTTTTGGGTTCTTTTTTTTTTTTTCCCCATGAAATTAACTGTTCGCGCACATAATCATTTTATATCTTGAAGCACCTCCCTTTGTAATTTCTTACATAGTAAAGAGACCGACAGAAACACCTAATTCTGATGGATCGATCTCCCCCTGCAGGTCTCTAGAGACACCGGTCTTTCATCACAAATTGTAAGGCACTTACGTTAAGCAGACTGCATGTACCTCCTTATGAGCTGCACCCTCCCTCCCAAGTCTAAGCATTCAATTTCAGACACTGCTTAAGATACACTTGTAATTATGCAAGAGTAGATAACACGATTGGATCTTCTTTCTAATTTGCTTTTGTATGTGATTTGCAGAAGCGTTGCACTATTTTATTTAATCTCCTTAACAAGATGTGTGAGGTCTCTTTAGCCACACCCATAACTGATAACGGGCACATATCTACGGAACTGACAGGCCCACATTTATTACTATTAGATAGGTTTAAACCTTCAGAATTTTCACTTAGGTTTACTTTTTTTTTTTTTTTTTTTAAACAATGTTAATCCCTATGTAATTTTCTCTGATTCAGATAGCCAAGTAATCCACGAATCTATTAATACTTGTATATTACTCTATTTTGAAAACAGAAATTTATATCACTTAGCTGAAATAGATGAAGATAGAAGAAAAGTCAAAACAGCTCCTTAAGAATTACACAAAACAGAGATGACAGTGACAAAAGCACACATTCTGCAGCATGAAGCTATTAAGATACTTTCCTAATTTACCTTGATTAAAGCTTGCACAGCAATAGCTATCTCATTTAGTTCTGGTGTTCCTTTGATATCTCTGTGTGTAGCATGATCTGTGCTGTAATATCCTATTTTTAAGTCATCTGAAATGCAAGGCCTCCAAAACCAGGTAGAATTAAAAAACATACTTGTAATATTACAGTACTTGCATTAATCAAGCTAACTGATGTTCTGTTAATAATGGAAATTCAGAGACAAAATGCCTATTTTTTTATCATTTCACTTGTCTGACTTTTTTAAGATAGAGGGGAATTTAAAAGAGTGTAATGAACACAACATTTTGTTTCTATGTTTGTTTCACAAGGACAAGATTTTTATTCAATTAAAAAGTTAAACAACACTAAACATTATGTTAAAGAACATAAAAGAAAATGCTAAAGAAAAAATGTGTTCTATCAGTAAATTGATTATTTTCAGTGTTCTGTAGAAAAATGTATCAGTCCAGAAATCCTGGACTGTAGATATAGCTAGAAGCTGGATTTTCTGTCTCACTGATAAATTTGATACTATTAATATAGCCTAAAAGACATTGTTACACTTTTAATAAATAATTAGAACACTGGATTGTTAAAAACATAGTACTTTGACTCTGTCCTCCTTTCTGTTAGAAATGGATGGTGTCAGAAAATTCTTGCCCAGGTCTACCTAATTAACAGGTCATCCTGACCGGACAAATAAGTTTAAAATTTTAATAGCATTCAATCAGAGGTGTTCCAAAGACCTCTTTATTTGGTGAACATTCAGATATATACCAAGTCCTCGCAGCTCAGAAAGCCAACCACATCCTGGGCTGCATCAAGAGAAGCATGACCAGCAGGTCGAGGGAGGTGATTCTCCTCCTCTACTCCACTCTTTTGAGAAACCACCTTGAGTTCTGTGTCCAGCTCTGGGGCCCCCAGCATAAGGAGGACATGGACCTGCTCAAGCAGGTCCAAAGGAGAGCCACAAAGATGATGAGGGGGCTGGAGCACCTCCCCTGTGAGGACAGGCTGAGAGAGTTGGAGGTGTTTCAGCCTGGAGAAGGCTCCGGGGAGACCTCCAGTACCTAAAGGGGGCATACAGAAAAGATGGGGAGGGACTCTGTCAGGGAGTGTACTGATAGGGGTAATGGTTTTAAACTGAAGGATGGTAAATTTACATGAGATGTAAGGAAAAAATTATTTACTGTGAGGGTGGTGAGGCCCTGGTACAGGTTGCCCAGAGAAGCTGTGGCTGCCCCCTCCCTGGCAGTGTTCAAGGCCAGGTTGGACGCGGCTTTGAGCAACCTGGGCTAGTGGAAGGTGTCCCTGCCCACGGCAGGGGGGTGGGACCGGATGAGCTTTAAGGTCCCTGCCAACCCAAACCACTCTATGAGTCTCTGTGAAACTCCTCACTGAAGCAGTTATGATCCCAGCTGTAAGACTGCCCTGTAAAGATGCGCCATTAAGCTAAAAGGTCCGCATTACGACGGGCTGCGTTAACTTTAATTTAGTGCACAAACTGATTACTTTCAAACAGAAATACAAGTAGATTCTTCCAAAACAGAACAGAGGAGTGTACACAAGATAGTTTTATCTTTGTCAGTCCCTGGAATAGCAGCAAAATACAGGGAACGTTCTTAAACAGGTAAGAAAGGTATTTCGGTGAAAACTCAGCGTATAAGCGCTCCAGAAGCATTACTAAGAGCAAAATTTAGGACGTGTCCGGCTTCATGGTCGAAAGCACCGTGAAACGGAGTCCCGTTAAACAACGTCTGGAGTCACTCGATACCGACAGGGAACCGCCCTCGGCCGCTGCAGTTGCGACAACAGGCGGGATCCCCACGGAAAGCGACTGTACCCACACAAGCCAGCACCCAGACAGCAACCCGCCGCGG